TCTGATCCAATAAAAGGCAGCTCCCTATGCATGGGGAAGGCCTGTAGCTCAGCAGCATAGAATCTTCTTTGCATGCAAACACTCCCAAGTTCAATTCTTGACATCTGACCCCTGCCTGAAATCCTGAAGAGTTACTGCTACCCATTGAAGACAATACTGGGCTAGATGGACCAATGGCCTGACTCTACAAGGCAGTCTGCTATATTCCTGCAAAAACTGACCAATGGGATCAGAGGCAGGATTCTCCTAAGAACAACCCTCCACCACAACTCTGTAGAGCACTGTAGGCCCGTTCAGAAATTCACCTGAATGTGCAAATGCTCAAAGTGTGGATGGGGGGGGGGCGGGGGCACGCATTCAAGGCCCACCCCCATGTCCTCACACATGCCCGTTATACATCTCATGAACCACCTCTGTGTGGAGCAGAGAAGACTCACAGGAGGCTTCTACTCACATTTGCTTGAATGCTAGTGAAATGTCTTCCACTGCTTTGTCAGGGCTCCTGATCATGTGCAGAATTCTACTCAGATTTAAGCAAATCTACAGGCATTTCCCACTCAACCTGGGGGTGGTTGGGGCCTGAGCATACAGGGCAGTGTGATTTGGGACATGGTTGCCTGCTTGTGTGCATACCCTTGCTCTCCATCCATGTGTACCGGGGTTGGCCCAAGACATTTTGGCACCTGAGATCACCCACAAAATGGTACCCCCTCCCCACCAGGGAAGAAGGGGTGAGTGAAGATCTATATGAGGAGTAAGGGGGGGGGAGAGAATAAAGATCTAGATCGGCATTTGCTGCCCCTGTGGGTCCTGCTACCTGAGGCGGTTGACTCACCTTGTCTTATGAGTGGGCCAGCCCTGACGGATACATAGTTCATGCATTCAGGCTCAAACGCCTGAACATGCTTTGTGTTCCAGGCTTTTCTTAGAAGGCAGAAGCACCAAAATCATGTGGCCAGGCAGCTCGAGACCCCACTGGGGTCTGACATTCACCAGCCAAGATCCTGCTCTTGACAGAGCAAAGTGATGCTGTGGTATCTTTCACTGCACTTTCCTGTTCTAGGGCAGATCTGCAGCCTTTTCTTAAAATAACATTTTCTTTTTTAGCAATGGGAGGCTGTGATTCAGACAATTTCAGCCATCAGGCAAGCAGCCTATCATGTAATCCTGCTTGCGTGTATTGACTGCCTTTGGCTCAGGATAAAGCAAAGTGAAGGTTGAAGGTCAAAAACTGCTGACCAGCATTTGATCCACCCTCTCACGTGGATTCCCCTGCTCTGCCCCTTGCCCCAAAAGCTGAAAAGTACATTCCTACTTTTAGACATTTTTTGGCAGCTTTCTTCTGCATAATATATATTGCTAAGCAAATGACTGAACTCCATAGATGACCTGGTTTGCTTACGAGTTGGAGGAAAGTCTGTCGTGTCAATCTGGATATGCACAAAGTGAACGCCAAGCCCTTTGGCATGCTGCAAGTATGTGTTGATTGTGAATAGGCTTTTCCAGCCAGAAAGAAAAAAGAAAGAAAGAAAGATTCTGAAGGCCTTTCTCTAAGATTTTCCATAAGGTCACCTTGCAAATCATTCGAAGTCACAAATCATTGTTCTTTATTTTCAAACTGAACTATGAGCAGAGGAGGAAACTGGCAAAGTCCACTTGCATCTCTCTTAATGAGAAAAAACACACACCACAGGATCAGGACAGCTTCACACAGAAGCATAGAATTGTAGAGTTGAAAGGAACACCAAGGGTCATCTAGTCCAACCCCCTGCAATGCAGGAATCACAGCTCTGACAGATGAGCATCCAATTTCTGTTTAAAAACTTCCAATGAAGGAGAGTCCACCACCTTCCGAGGGCGACCATTCCACTGTCAAACAGCTGTTACTGTAAGAAAGTTCTTCCTAATGTTTAATCAGAAGCTCCTTTTTTGGAATTTGAATCCATTGGTTTGGATAGTTGCTGTGATCCTATGACTATTGCCATGGGCACTGCTGGTATAATATACACACTGCCCATTTGTGTGGTTATAGTGAAGGATGTACAGTGGTACCTTGGGTTACATATGCTTCAGGTTACATACGCATCAGGTTACAGACTCCACTAACCCAGAAATAGTACCTTGGGTTAAGAACTTTGCTTCAGGATGAGAACAGAAATCGTGCAGCGCAGCGGCAGCAGGAGGCCCCATTAGCTAAAGTGGTGCTTCAGGTTAAGAACAGTTTCAGGTTAAGAACAGACCTCCAGAACGAATTAAGTTCTTAACCCGAGGTACCACTGTACTGCACTAGCAATGCCACAAATGGTCTGGTTCAGAAACAAACAATACCAATGGTTAGCACTAGCTAGCATTTGTGGCCTTAATCATGGTTACAAATTTAGAAGTGCGGGGTCCTTTCATGATTGTCACAGCCATGCCTCCTCAAGCCTTCTAAGATTATTCATAGAATAATAGAATTGTAGAGCTCGAAGGGACCCTGAGAGTCACCACCCCTGAATGCAGGAATCCTGTCCACAGCCATCCCTGGGTGGGCTTGAACCACCAACCTTTTGGTTGACAGCCAGACATACTGACCCATTGTGCCACCTGAGATCTCTATTCAACCTTCTAAGTTAACTCAATAATCTTGTAATATAATAATAATAATAATAATAATAATAATAATAATAATAATGGGTTCATTGCAATGAGTAGTTCAGATCTCCATGTGTTGCTTTTCAGCTAGAGCTACTATTCTCTGTGCAAATACAGTGGACGCTCGGGTTGCGAACGTGATCCATGTGGGAAGCATGTTCGCAACTCACAGCACCATGTGTGCGCACGTGCGGGTCGTGATTCGGCGCCTCTGCGCATGCACAAAGCTCGATTTAGCACTTCTGCACATGCACAAGCGCCGAAACCCAGAAGTAACCAACTCTGGTACTTCCGGGTTTGGAACAGTGTGCAACCCAAAATTGCACAACCTGAAGCATCTGTAACCCGAGGTATGACTGTACATGGGCAAACAATTTGGAGTGCTGCAGTATCTTGCACAGCCTACTCCTAAAATAGAAGCACCTTGTGTTTTCAGTGTCCCAAGATGCTTAGCTTTGGAGCACACAAAACAACAACTTTCCAGTGCTCTTTCCATGTGCTTTCTCTAAAGGGACATTAGGAGCCAATCCTCCGTGGTGGTGCCTTACTTCATTTTGCTCTGATTGGCCCCCATCAGCACCAAGGCTGAGAAGACCTATCAGTTGTTAAAATTTCCTTGATGACTGGGCAGTTCAAGGATTTTGGAAACATGGACCTTGTTGTAGAAATAGTAGTGGACCTTCAACCCCGGGGAACCCAGACCAGTACAACTCTACTAAGATCACAAAGTGAAACCATGATTTAAGATGCTAAGTGCTGTGTGAAGGGAACAGCCACTCAATCTGCTCTTCCTTTTGCAATCAGAGAGGTGGGAGAGGTGGTGACCCGAGTCATCTGATATCTGTCTTTCCCTCTTCTTTGAGAGAATCGGAATCATAATCCTTTGGCCATTGTGTGGACATTTCCCCATGTGGCATACCACATGTTGTTTCAGGTGTGTAGTAAGTGTAGCTGCATTCACCATCTCCTTCACCACACAAAAGGGTCAGCACTCTTAACTGGCAAAGGTGTTAACCCAGGCATAGGCAAACCTGACCACTGGTCCTGTTAGCTAGGGATCATGGGAGTTGTAGTCCCAAAACATATGGAGGGCTGAGTTTGCCTATGCCTGTGCTAACTGCATGGCTAGAACTGATGATGGGACTAAGGAAACCAACTGTCCATACAACAACATCTTCCTCTCTGTTGGGAATGCTTGTCTTCATCCGTAATCCTTTCAAAGAACACGAGTCACTTCCTTTCATGGTGAGATGCTCAAACTGTGTGGCAGCAGGGCACCCTCAGCTGCTCCTGGAAGTGCTGTGATTTCTGCATTGCAGGAGTTAGTCTAGATGACCCTTGTGGTCCCTTCCAACTCAACAGTTCTATGATTCGATGAATAATGACTCCTGTCTGCCACTGTCTCTCTGAATGACTCACAGTTCTCTCCTCACTGCCTAACTTGGTGGGACAGGATAAATTATGTCAAATATATTCATGGAGTGGAATGTATTCCTTTGATCAATCCCAATGCAGGGATGCCAACTTGAATAAAATATTTGGGGTGCCCAGGTAAGGTTCGCCTCATATAATTGAGTACATAATGTTGTGCACGCACACCATTTGAATGGCAATCCCCATCACCTTGCGGGGTGTGTGCGTGTGTCACGCTTAAATGTTTTATTGGGAGGGCCGATGACCCCTCGGCCCCTAAGAGTTGCCTCCTATGGCAGTGATAAGGCAGAATGAGTTGCCCTCAGAGGAGTGTGTCTGATGTATCTTGGTATGAGTCACTGCTCTGATCAGGTCTCCATTTAATTTTGAGAAAGAACCTAGAACAGTGAGTCATACAAAGACATTGGGGGGGGGCATCCCATAAGAATAAGCCATTCCTACTTTTTCCCTTTCTAAAAGTGAATCTTTTTTTGCAGGGCAACATTGGAACATGCCTCCTGTTTTAACCCAGACATCTGTTGAGCTCCTCAGGGTGAGAAAAATACTCAAAATAGTCTCCCATGATGTCAAATAGTTTCTTTAATAACACGAGGGCATTTACAGCTTTTCATAGTCTACATTATTAGGGTGTTCCCTTTATTTCCCTTTTACAAATATATTTGACCATAAATGTGCATTTATTGAAAAGAGGCACTTGACATCACCTGCAGCTTTGAAGTTTATTTGTTTTTGTAACTTTAATTTTTTGTTCCTTGCCATGATGAACAAGATCTCCCACCTCCCCCTGCCCTTTGATCACCCAACTTTTTTTTCCACTGGCAGAGCATGGGACTCTAGATTTGAATACTGAGCCATTCTGCATTAAGGAACAGAAGACCCAATCCACTAAAGAATTCTCTTCCATAGAAAAAGGGACACGACAAGGTTGCCCAATTTCCCCATTGCTTTTTATTTCGGTCCTGGAGGTTTTGCTGAATATGATTAGAAGGGACCGGTTGGTTAAAGGTATACAGGTCGGAGCAAAACAGTACAAATTGAGAGCATTTGCAGATGATTTAGTATTGATGTTACAGGAGCCAGAATCTAGTACCAAAAGGGTTTTAGAATTGATTCATCATCATCATCCTTTTTATTCGACCGTCAGTCAGAAAAAAGTACATTTTATCAATACACAGTTAAAACATTCAGGAAGATTTTAAAACTTAGCCAACACTAAAATGGGCTAAACAGATAGCCCCATATCAATACAGTCAATTATAGTCTTGCGACGCTTAAAAGCTAAAAAGAGAAATTTGGCCACCAAGGAAGGTATAGCTCTAGTGGCATTATTCAGCAAGTGTAAAACCTGGATTTCTCCGGGAAGGAAGCTGAATTGACATAGGAGTGGGTCTATAAAATTTTGTCTAAGCTCTGCATAAGAAGGGCAAGTCAAGAGAATATGTTCAGTGGACTCAACCACACCCATGGCACAATGACAGGTTCTCTGGGCGTATGGTACCCCCCTGTACCTTCCCCACAATATCGCAGAGTCAAGGACATTTAATCTAGCCGCTGTAAGAAGTCTACGGTATTCCACATAATGGATTTCTGCAAGGTAGGGGGCTGGTATGGTCCGATAAATCTGGTCCCCTAGGAACATCCCTGGTTTTACCTGGGCTATGTCCTCTTGTCTGGCAATGTCACTCAGTCTCCGGGAGATCACAGCTCTAGCTTGATTGTACGTCATAGACTCAAAGTAGAGGTGAGACAATCCGCAGGATTGAACCTCATTAATGGCCTCCCTTTCCCACGATGATTGGAAATCATCCCTCAATATCAAGGGGGCAATACCCACTGGTTTAAAACAAAGCTTGAGCCATAGCCAGAGCTTCGTCTTCAAGGCCACATACCGTAGAGCTTGCCAGCCGACCTCTAATCTCATAACCGCACCCGCTACCGAGGGGGGAATCCTGAGGATGGCTCTAAGGAATCTCGTTTGGATAGAATCCAGTTTCAAAAAATCCCTACGGGAGCCTAAAGAGATGCCCACCAAGAGAAGGGGGAGGACTTTCATTTGAAAGAGTCTCAAAGCTATCTTCACTGATTGAGCCTGATTCTTAGCATATAGAGATCTAATCTGGATGGCTGCTTTAGATGCGTTAGTTGTTATATAGTCTCTATGGGCCAGAAAAGACCTATTTGACCGTATTACTTGTCCCAGATATTTAAAGCAGTTAACCTGCTCTAGGGGGGTCCCGTTCATCGACCATCGATGGAGTCTCGGTCGGGCAGAGAAGACCATGATCTTGGTCTTAGCATAGTTGGGTTGGAGCTCATGCTGATCACAGTATTCATGTAGAGCTTGCAACATTCTCCTCAGTCCAATAGGGGATCTGGCAAGAAGTGCGGCGTCATCCGCATACAGAAGAACGTTCAGAGATCGGCCTGCTAATTTGGGGGTGGAAAGCATCATTGGCCATGTGAGTCACCAGTGAGTTAATGTAAAAATTAAACAATGCTGGGGCCAATAGACAACCCTGTCTTACCCCTCTGGTGGTGGTAACAGGGTTGGAGACTAGGCCTTTATTGTCTAGCCTGATTCTCAGAAAGGTGTTTGTATGGAGGCTGATAATCAGATGAAGGAGACGACGATCGATCTTTGTAGCAGCCAGTTTTGTCCATAGCTGCTTTCTAGAGATTCGATCAAATGCCTGCTTAAGGTCAATAAAAGCCACATGAAGAACCTTTGGGGCTTTGCCGGCATACTTTTCCGCCAGGTGATTCAAGGTTAGTATTTGGTCTGTGGTAGATCTTCCAGGGCGAAAACCCGCCTGTTCATCGGCAATGATATTGTCATCCTCCATCCATTTCGATAGTTTGTTTAGCAGGTACCCCGAGTAAATCTTCCCTATGACATTTAGCAAGCTGATTGGCCTAAAGTTGCTCGGCTCTGTACGTGGTCCTTTCTTATGTATTAATACAATCAACGCAGAGCTCCAGCTTGAGGGGAATTTTGCTGTTTTGTTTATATGCGTGTAAAGTGCTGCTAAAAGTGGGATCCACCAATCTTTATTTGCTTTGATGACATCAATGGATATAAGGTCATCACCGGGGGCCTTGCCTGCTTTAAATCGATCTATGAGAGTTTCAACTTCAGGGCATGTAACTGGGTCCCAATCGGGCAGTGCTTCCGGCTCCACCGTATCTCCGCAGGCATCATGAGCTGCATACAGATCGGCGAAGTATCTTTCCCAAGTGTCCGCTGAGATGTGGGGTTCTATTCTTGCAAGCGGCCTACCCAGGTATCTGGAAATTAACTGCCAAAAAGAGGCTGGATTTCTATTCTCTGCAGCTATCAAGAGGTTGTTCCAATTGTTTCTTTCTGCCTCGAGCTTCTTTTCCTTTAGTAGGGCTTTATAACTTCTCCTGAGGGCGATAAGACGGTTATTTGGCATGGGGTCATTTGATGCTCTGTATGCCAACCATTCATTATACAGATGATTCTTGAGGTTTTTGCATTCCTCATCGAACCATTTTAGTGGAAAAACTGTTTACCATGCTTTGTGGGGGACCGAGCTAGTGTTGGTTTTAGAAGTTCTACTAAATCGTCATATATTGGTAGAGGCTCATCCGCCTGCATAAGGGAAGCTCTTTTTATTTGGAGCTGGTCAGACCAGAGAAGTTCGTTCAGCTGCTGGGCTGAATTGGAGGTCCATTTAAGGGCTGTAGGTCTTATCTCCAGATGGTCATTTGATAGGTGCACAAAGGAGTGCCTATCAAGATCGTCAGCCAAAGTCAAGGAAATTTCTAGAGGGAAGTGGTCACTCTCCAATCTTGAAGCCACCTTAAAGCTGGATATTTTTGGGGTAAGGTCAGGAGATATCCATACAAAATCAATAGTGGATGCACGTGAACCTGACCAATAGGTGAATTCGGCAGGGTAGTCCGAGCTGATTGCCCCATTTAGCAGGAGGAAATTGAGGGCCAGCAAGGTTTGCCTGCATTTGAAACCTGCGTACGTGGCTATGTTATCTTTGAATTTCCTTGGTAAAAGATCTGTAGTCATAAGAGGTGAAGAAGGGTACTTGCTAAATTTAGAGAATAAGATTTGGTCAGTGTGCGACAGGCGTCCGTTAAAATCTCCCGCCAACAAAAAGGTGGCTTCGGGGTATTTATCAAAAAGTGTTTCCAATGTCACTTGAATTTCCTGCCATCTCAGATCAATCAGATTTCTCTTATAAATTGGACATAAGTAGATATTGATCACTACTATCGTTTCCTCTGCTGTTTGCAACTTTATAATCAGCATGAGTGACGACTGGATGTCGATTTTTTCGGCCTGAAGATTTATGGCTAAGGAAACAAAAGTAGCCAAGCCTCCTTGCGGTCTACCATGTGATAGCGAATTCTGCGTGGCATTCAGGTAGAAGCCCTTGTATCCTGATAGATAGAAGTCCTCACAGGCCCATGACTCTTGGAATAGGAGGATGTGGCTGCCATTTATATAAGCAACAAATGATGGATCTGTCAGTTTGGATTTAATACCAGCCACATTCCATGATAGTAGTGTAAGAGGCCGCTTTGTGTTTCCCTCAAGTCATGCTTTCTCTTGCATGGTTAATCCTGGAAAATCCAAATGGGGGTGCACACAGCATGAAGGGGCAGTAGGGTGAAAAAAGGCAGTGATTTTTAATTGTTTGCACTTCGGGTTCAAGTTGTCACATGTCACAGGAGCAGCCAGTGGCTGGGGCGAATTTACAGATCGCTGTGAGGGAAAGTCTTGATACGAGGGGGTGTTACTAACCGACAAGTCCATAGACTCGTCGTTTACCGTATGCTCTGTAGTTGCAGGAGTCGTGCCTTGAGGATTGAGGCTAGTTGATGGGAAAGCACTATGTAAGAAAGAAGAGAGACATCCTTTCGGTTAGCTTCCAGTAGCTTGTTTAGCCTTGCCACTGCCTCAGTGTTTGTCCAAAGGGCTACTGGATCCCCCAGTGTCTCTTGCGTCGTCATGGTATCAGCACAAGGAATGTAGCCATTTTAAGGATTGGAGATCGTTTTTGCTGCCGGGGGGTCCACATGGGCTTGTGTCTGCCAATCTTTAGAAGCATCTATAGTGGCCGAAGCTGGACCCATCAAAGCTCTACCCCTTAAGGCAGTCCCTTCTTGCCGGTGGGATGGTCGGCTAGTAAATCGTGGGGAGGGGTTCATAGGAAGGGTCCGTTGCTGCGAATTCCGGTCCTCAGTCCTCCTTGTAGGCCGGCTAACCAAATTTGCTGAGTTTGGGATTTTCCCAATAATGCCCCTACAATTGTTAAAGAAGCATCTTTGTGGAAAGATTCCAAACCAGTTGAGACGATTTTGAAGTTTGCTCAAAAGTGCAGGAAGCCTGGGAGAGTCAAACTTGAGCAACAAGCGCTTAAATTTTGGTGTCTCTGGCAGCCATTCTAATGATAGGAGACCACCCTGGGCCAAGTAAGACCTGGTCAACAGTCGCAATGAGATCACAGCAGCTTTACGATTTCTCCAGGCATAATAGGGGAAGCAGGAGTGAGCAATGTTCAAGCATATATTGTTAGGGGTGAGTTGGAGGTTTACTGGCTGCTGCCCCCTACTTAGGCTCTGTGCCTCATAATTATCAGGTCCCTGTTGATTTAATGGCGGCTTCAAAATCGAGGCAGGGGTTTTGGTGAAGGCATTTAGTTTTCTCTCTAACATATTGATGGAAGCTGATAGCACCTTTATTTCGTCAGCCAAGTGAAGGCAATATTTCTGCAAAGTCCTCAGCTCCGCTGATTGTACTATATCACACAAAGATTTACGATGAGGGTCGGGGTAAGGAGAGAGGCCATCTGGGCTGGAGGTCATATCCAACAGCGATTTGCCTCCTGGCAAGGGAGTATTTGAAGTCGTTGCAGGATCATGTGGGCAGTCTATCTGCTTGGAGGCGTTTAAAGGGTTGTTTGGAGTCATTGCAGGATCATGTAGGCAATCTAACTTGTAGTGTAACATGTAGGCAAGAATTTGGTCAAGTGGCAGGATTTAAATTGAACAAGTTAAAAACTAAGGTTTTAGAGAAAAATTTAACACCGATCGAAAGAGAGAGGTTTCAAAATGAGACAGGTCTGACTGTGGTTAAGAAAGTGAAATACCTGGGGATTAACATGACAGCAAAAAATGGGAATTTATTTAAAGATAACTATGAAAAATGTTGGGCTGAAGTGAAAAAAGATTTAGAAATTTGGTCAAATTTGAAGCTTTCACTGCTGGGCCGTATTGCTGCGGTAAAAATGAATGTATTGCCTAGAATGTTGTTCTTGTTTCAAACATTGCAAATAGTGGACAAAATGGACTGTTTCAAGAGGTGGCAGAGAGATATTTCTAGATTTGTCTGGCAGGGCAAGAAGCCCAGAATAAAATTTAAAATACTAACAGATGCAAAGGAAAGAGGTGGATTTGCCCTGCCAGACCTTAAACTTTATTATGAATCAGCAGCTTTTTGCTGGTTGAAAGAATGGCTGCTTCTTGAAAACACTGACATTTTGGATCTAGAAGGTTTTAACAATGTATTTGGATGCCATGCATATTTGTGGTATGATAAGATCAAAGCACATAAAGCATTTAAAAATCATATTGTTAGGAAAGCTTTGTTTAATGTTTGGATAAGATATAAGGACTTATTGGAAAATAAAACCCCAAGGTGGCTGTCACCGATGGAAGCGAAAGCCTTGAAAAAGCTCAATATGGAGGTCAAATGGCGAAATATTGGGAAATTTTAGAACAAGATGGAGATAGATTGAAACTGCAGAGTTTTGAAAAACTAAAAAACAAAGTGCGAGACTGGCTTCATTATTATCAGATAATGGAGGCATACAATTTGGACAAGAAAACTGGCTTCCAGGTGGAAAAATCAAAATTAGAAACAGAATTGTTAGAACCCAAAACTAAGAATTTGTCAAGAATGTATAACTTGCTGCTGAAATGGAATACTCAGGATGAAACGGTGAAATCTGCTATGATTAAATGGGCACAAGATGTTGGACATAATATTATGTTTGCTGACTGGGAACAGTTATGGACCACAGGTATGAAGTTTACAGCATGTAATGCCCTAAGAGAGAATATTATGAAAATGATATACAGGTGGTACATAACCCCAGTCAAGCTTGCAAAAATCTACCATTTGCCCGATAATAAATGTTGGAAATGTAAAGAAACTGAAGGTACATTCTTTCACCTTTGGTGGACGTGCCCAAGGATTAAGGTTTTCTGGGAGATGATTTATAATGAATTAAAAAGGTATTTAAATATACCTTCTTGAAGAAACCAGAGGCCTTTCTCCTGGGCATAGTCGACCAATCGGTGTTAAAGAAGGACAGAACTTTCTTTATGTATGCTACAACAGCAGCAAGAATACTTATTGCAAAGCATTGGAAGACACAAGATCTACCCACACTGGAGGAATGGCAGATGAAAATGATGGACTATATGGAATTGGCGGAAATGACTGGCAGAATCCGAGACCAGGGAGAAGAGTCGGTGGAAGAAGATTGGAAGAAATTTAAAGACTATTTACAGAAATATTGTAAAATTAATGAATGTTAGAATGATGTTGGATTGAAGTTAAGCGGTTTCTAGCAGTAATGGTTAAAAGAATGGAAAAATGGGTTTTTAATAGGTAAAAATTTAATGTTATAATATATTAAGATTAAAGAACAGGATTAAAAAGGAGGGAAAGAAATTGCTGGACTAACAAACTGAATTGGAATACAAAAGAGGGAGGTATGAGGAAGTCCGGCAAACAAGTAAATGTAAAAGAAGTAATGAAAAGACGGAATTGTTTTTAACTGTTTTTTCTTTCTTTCTTTTTTTGTATTTGGTATTGTGTATTTTTCTTTTTATTCTGAAATTCTTCTGTCTTATTAATGTGATTCTTTTTTTTGTGTGAAGCTTTAATAAATATCATTAAAAAAAAAAAAAAGAATTCTCTTCCATAAGTTCCACTAAAATTAAAAGGAGCCCCCAGAAGATCAATTGTTCACTTCTTTTCCAGCACCGTCCAAAAAGAAACAATAAGGCAAAGTGGAAAGTTATTATTTTTACAAGGTCAGCTTTTCTGCCCTTTGGAAAGTCCCATTTATCCACCCTCCCACGCTCAACCTTGGTACTCAGGTGATGCAGCCCAATGCCTCCGGTGTTGCCAGCTGTTGGATATCTGGTTCTAAGAGGTGTTGATGTTGTCATTAAGGGAGGTGGTTGCTGAACCAATCAGACAATCTTATTTGCAAAACAGCGACCTTGGCTGGTGGATTAAATGTCCTCAGCAGCATCTCAAAAATATTAGCTAGGTTGCTACAATTAGGCAATGGTAACTTCAAGGCTACTGGGTGGGCCTTTCCTCCATCCCTTTTTTAGCTGCTGGATAGGAGAGCAAAAGCCAGTGCGTGTGTGAGAGACAGACAGAGAGAGAGATAGAGAGAGCTGAGCTGGAAGCAAACCAAAGACAGAGACATACTTGCTTTATGCTCAGTCCAAAACTATAGGAGAAGCAGGATCTTTAGGGCTGTTAATGTTGTGAGCCATTCTATCCTATGCTCATGTTGTTTATATGTGTAAATAAAACCATATAGCCTAAAGACACCACGTTCTCTGCCGACCATCCTTCCAAGGAAACTGAACTCCGGACAAGTGCCTGGAACCCCTGTACTCTCTCACTGCTGGGAGACTGGGCTGGTGTGCAGCACTGGTTTTTTTCCTGCAGGAACAACTGTGAGTGAGTTGTACCTGAGTCGAAATGGAGGGAGAAATAGCAACACTCCAGGATCAAATGAAGTTGCTATTCCAGCAGAAGCAGCAGCAAATGGAAGACCAGCAACAAATGCTGAGGCAGCTTAAAAACAGTCTTGAAGAGAAAATGGATGCCTCTTATCAGGGTATCAAAGACTTCATGGATAAACAGCTGCAAGAGGTGAAAAGTGACCTAGAAGCCCAGGTAGTGGACTCCAGGAGGAGAATTGAGGAAGTAGATGACAAACTGATCAACCTGGACTATAAGGCGTTTAAGGCAATATCCAGAACCCAAAATGCTTTGGCTGACTTGGAAGTAGCCAACAGATATGAAAATGAAGATATTTATAAAGGATTACAGGCACTGGAAATGAAACTGCAAATTGTGAAGGAAGAGTGCCAACACACCCGTGGTGCAAGTGGCTTGGTGAGAAACCAGCAACCAGCAACTGTGCGCAAGAAGACCCCCCCTAAGGGGCAGGCAGGTGTAGCTGATGAATTCAAGAAGCTCTCTCTGTATGATGGCAAGACTCCTTTGGAAGCTTATCTTTCAGAGTTTGAAACAATCTCCCAAGTAAATGGCTGGGATGAAAAACAAAGGGGGGAATTGCTAGCAGCCAGTCTTAGTGGGTCAGCTCAGGAAATCCTGCAGCATCTCCCATCAGAGAAAAGGCAGAGCTATCCTGATCTGGTGAAAGCCTTAAGTCGGCGATTTAGACCAGGGCACCGTGCTGAGCTAGCCAGGGCCCATTTCAGGAGTAACAGGAAGAAGAAACTAGTGATCCCTCCAGACTTTGCTGAGGACTTGAAGACTCTTGCAGAAATAGCATACCAGGAGGGCAAAAAGGAAACAGAAGATGCACTGGCAAAGGAAAGGCAGAGTGATATGGAGGGCAGCTGGAAGGTGCCGCGCCCAAAGAACCTGCAGAAATCCATAGAATTCACCAAAGAGATAGAAACATTTCTTGCCGAGACCAGAAAAGGAAGAGGAGAAGCTTTCTTGCAGGAAGTCTTGGGGGGTAAGTACACATCCTTTTCTACTGCAAATGGGAATGTGGGACAGCCTGACTGTGCAGCTAATGTTTTAGATTGGTTAGAGGAGTTCCTAAACTTGGTTGAAAAACCCAGGTAATTGGTAATGGCAAAGGGTTGAGGGATAATGTGCCATTGAGGTGCTGGCACTGTAACAAAATTGGCCGCAAAAAGAGAATTGCTATCTTGCCAAGGGAAGTCATGCGAGAGGTTCACAAGTGCCAAAAGATTATGAATGAACCGGTGTTGGAAAATGGGGTGCCAGCAAGCCGAATGGGCAAAGCTTGGAGGGAATAAAGGAAGTCTTGCAGTGTGTGCCCAAATCTGGGTAATTAGACTGTAATAATAGTAGCCTGGCAATTAGCTGTGAGGTTGGTGGTGTGAAATGCACAGAGATATTTCATATGGAATCAAGCATCACTGTTCTTTAATCTGACATGCCAGGCTTATTCAGAAAGGAAATGGCTCTTGTAAGAAGGGTTGCCTGGTCTCAGATAGAGACCACCAGTAGTAATATTAGTATATTAGTTATATAATATTAGTATATTAGTTATATAATATTATTATATTAGTATATAATATTAATAGTAATATTAATTAATATAAACAAATTAATACTATTAATTTAATTTTTTACCTTTCCACCCACCATAAAGTCCCAGGGTGTGTTACTACAACTTAAAAATTTCAATATTAAAAACACTTTAAAACGAATTGCAGTCACATGTATAGGGCAGCTCCTATATAGATGTAGATATGATGTTATCAATTATAAAACTATTACAGACAACAGCAGCATTTCAGCAAATCTGCAGACTCTGAATAGCCTACATTTCATTCACCAAACGCCTGGGAGAAGAGAGAGGTTTAACCTGGTGCCAGAATCATATCAAATTTAGGGCATTCTGCATCTCCGGTGGAGAGAATCCCACAATCAAGATGTCATTATAGAAATGGCCTGATTCCAAGCCAACACCCAGCATGCTGGATTAGCAAATGCTACTTGATCACATAGCGGCATTTCCAGAGAAATCCATCTGGCCCAGTTTTCAAAGAACCAAACAGGTGACAGAGTTTCTTAGCCTCTGAAAGAGACTTTTACTTTTAATGAAATTTTGTTTGTTTGTTTGTTTCTGAAGGGATAGAAGAGGAAGAGGAAGAGGAAGACGAATACGAAGACGAATACGAATACGAAGACGAATACGAATACGAATACGAAGAGGAAGAGGAAGAGGAAGGAGAAGAAAAGCCAGATCCATACCTCCCCCCCTTCTCCACTGACAAGAAAGATCCACCAAAAGAGGAGGAGCTGGGGGCCTGTGCCAAGCCTTAGTTTGTTTCTCTTAGATGCTTTAATAATTTGCAATATAAGGGTTTGTCCACACTTCTGCTTATCCAGTGCTTTCTATTCACTGGTCCAAGAGGTTTTCCTTTTGCCCTGCTATTTCCACTGGGAAAACCCACTGTTTAACACTGAATTGGAACAAATGCCAGACCACAGAAAACCTAAAAGATGTTAGTTCCGATTTAGTGGTTTTCCTGGGGGGAAATGGTGGGATAAACAGAAGAACACATGGGACAAGTGGAAGTGTGGATGAGCCTTGAGTGGTGGTGGTGGGGGGGGGGGTGCTGCACATTGGAAATGAAATTTCCACTCTGCTGTTTCAACTGATGACGTTTAATTTTGTCATTTGCTTTCTTTCTTTTATTTTATTTTTATTATTTGTCTTGTGGTGCTTGTTGCATATTGAGGCCCCATAACCAGCCTGTTCCCTAAGGTATGATTGCAATATTTCAAAAAGTGAAAATCCAGACACAAAAGTTGCTGAGCTTCTTTTTAGTTCCTGGACATTTCAGCAATTTCCACCTGGATTCCCTCGCACTTGAGCCGGAAGCTGCACTTAGTGCAGAATGCTGCAACATAATTGCTCACAGGAGGCCCTGTCAACACAACAAGGAGGGTGGTGATAAAATAGCGAAATGCAGTGTAACCATTATACAGTTAGAAATCTAAACAACCATGAAAATAACAGGAGTGATCTTTTTCTTAATGAACATACATATATTTGAATCTTGATAGAAGAAGAATCCACCCATAAATCAACAGTTGGTAAACATTCGGACATAGTTCCAGTATACATCACATTTCCTCCCCCAGGGGGGCTTAATCACTGAGCTAACAAAATTAAATAAAACAAGATTCCAGTCAACATCTATTTCCATATAAGGTAAATATAATGTGAAGAGAACGCATACATGCAGCAGTACCTTGTGTAGTAAAATGTAGACAGTGAGCAATTATTAGTTTAGAACAAGGGTAAATCTATAAAGGTAAAAAATGACAAACTAACTCATCTATATGCCTTGTTAGCATATAACACTCAGTGCTCAGAGATCTGCACTGGTTGCCAATCTGCTACAGTGCCAAGATACACACATACAGGTTTGTATGCTGCCCTTCCACAGTTTAAAACCATGCTCAAGGCAGCTTACTACTTGAAAAAAAAGCATAATTAAAAGTATAACAAAACTAGTCATAAACAATGAAAAAATAAAAATAAACAACCAAATTGAAACAATTTCCACATAAATAATAACATCTAAAATAAAATACAAAAAACATAAATAACAGCATTAACAACCCCAACAACCCCCTGCTAAACAATACCTGAGCGCAAGAGTCTGTTCAGCAGCCTCCCAGACAACGTGGGAAAAGGCTTGCAAAGCAGGGAGCAGGTCTTCTAGGACTCACAGCCATGCTGGTTCAAGGTGTTACTATTAGTATACAAAGCCCTTAACTCAATCATTTAGTAACTCAGCACCTTTGGAACTTGATATCCAGCAGGCTCTGATGTTGTATTCTTAACACCTGCTAAAAACATCCTTGTTTAGGCAAGCCTACGTAGATGCTTAGAAATGCTGGTGTGAATTCATTTTAGTATTGTAACTTTTTATTGTGTGTTTCTTGTGTGTGTTTCTTGTGAGTGTTTCTTGTGTGTGTTTGTTAATTGTGTGTGTGTTTATGTGTGTGTGTGTGTGTGTGTGTGTGTGTTTATTGTGTGTGTGTGTGTTTATTGTGTGTTGTAATGTGTTGTAATTTCCCCTTGATTCTATTGCTTTGTCTTTTTGTAAACTGCTTTGAAATTTTTGCAGTCAAGTAGTGTATTGAGTTTTATGAAATAAATGTATCAAATAAACTATCTCCTAGGGGCAGAGCTGGGAAGCAGGGCTCACTCCATCAGCTCCTCTCTGACAGGCCAGCTCCATCAGACCTCCTCTCCCCTAAACTGCCACCTGGGGGCAGCCTTTCCATCAGGCTGCCTCAGTGGGAGAGATAGATAGCAGGAGGCTCGCTCTGTCAGCTTTGTTGGAGGTAGATTTAAGGGAGTGCGGCCAGTTTGGTTGCACTGGGCGTGGAGCCAAGGGGGTGCCACAATTATGTTGTAGAATGGAAGGCAAGAGATGGAAGGGGTACCGAATTTTGGTGTCACACAGGGCACCGCTGAAATTTGAGACCTCAAGGTCTGCCACTGCTGGAGGCCCATCTGTACCCGGGACCTCTTGGCACTCAGCTGTGCCAGATGGGCATTGTAGGAATAACTGTTTAGAAATCAGTGCTTGGATTTGATTATGATGTTCCTCTTACCTCCCTGTCACTTTTCTCTTGTGTGTCATGTTTTATTTTAGATTGCATACCTGTGGGTATTAAGTATCATGTTTTGATTGTATGTAAGCTGCTTTTAGAACTGCTTTGGCTCCAAATAAATAAAATAAAACAAGTTTTGGTCTGCCATTTTGCCTTTTTTTTTTTTTTTGCAACACTGTTTCTCCAAGTATATTGTTTTCAATAACATATGCACTTTACAAATCCTTTGCCCCATTAAATGCATTTTTGCACGTATGACTTCGCTGAAAAACTGCTTCGCAAAATTCAGGGAAGTGCAAATTTCAAAGAATGGTTGTGTTTTGGTTTTTCGTCTTGTTTCAGCAAGTGCAAAATAAGCAGGTTGTCCTTAAATGATGAACCGAATCAGATTTCTCCCCTATCCCTAGGAATGTGCGTGGATTGCTTAATTCCCCTCACTCACATCCCTCTCTTGATGTAAAAATGACTCCTTTCAGCCCCCCACCCCACTTCATGAGTGAATAACGCAGGCATGTGAACCTATACTGTATACAGTCTCTGCCAAGTCATCTTTGATCACCACAGCGCAGTCAGAATCTATTGCGAAGTCATAACGAGGATCATGGGACACGACTGGCCCAGTGGACCAGAGGCTTTTCTGGCAGATTTCAAGGCTAGGCCACACATTCCATGTGTCAGTGCTGGGGAGGGGAGAGCGAATGCTGCTGAAAAGGGGTTGACCCCCAGACAGTGTCAGTGGTTAACAACATACCATATTGAATTCTGAATTCTTATGCTTTTCCTGTCTGCATAACTAGGCAGTTTTTCAATATGTTAGGAGGGATTTTTTAAAAAAAGATTTCCCTGAAGTATGGATTCCCATAACAAGGCTGCAATTTCTTCCCGTTTGGCAAACTTGCACCTGTTTTGCCTTTGGCAGTAAAGACAGGGTAATGAGGTAGACTAATGATGCAAGCTCCGGTTCAAAACCATCTCTCAGTAGGATGCCTTTCCTGTGTTTGTGCTCCCCCTTCAGCCACCCTTCCCCCTACATACCCACCTTGGGCGAGGAGCTGGGTCGCTGCACTAAGATCTTTGACACGCTGACCCTTTTTTGGGGGGGGGGGGTGAACATTCAGAGTCCTTATTTGTGGCACAGTGTCCTTTATGTAATGTCTCAATATGACATAATCCAAAATAAATTAGATGGTGAAACAGTATATCATCATCATTCATGTATCGATGGGGGATTCCCACACCTTAAGTATCTAAAACTCTTCACATAAATCTCGTTTCCCTTGCCCTGTTGTAACATAGTTTGGTGAACAAGAGACCACATGAAAATAAGTTTATAAAATTATGCATGACAAGGAGAAAGTGTACAGTGGTACCTCGGGTTACATATGCTTCAGGTTACATACGCTTCAGGTTACAGACTCCGCTAACTCAGAAATATTACCTCGCGTTAAGAACTTTGCTTCAGGACGAGAACAGAAATCATGCTCCGGCGGCGCGGCAGCAGCAGGAGGCCTCATTAGCTAAAGTGGTGCTTCAGGTTAAGAACAGTTTCAGGTTAAGAACAGACCTCCGGAACGAATTAAGTACTTAACCCGAGGTACCACTGTATAGAGAAAAGTCCCCCTTCTCCCCCTTCTCTCATAGCACCTCAACTTATGGACATCCAATGAAGATCAATGTTGGAAGATTCAGGACAGGCAAAATGAAGTACTTATTCATTCAGTCCATGGTTAAACTATGGAACTCCCTCCCACAGGAGGTAGTGATGGTCACCAGCTTTGCTCACTTTCAATGAGGATTGGACAAATTCATGAAGGAGGAGAAGGCTAAAAATGCATACCATAAAATAGAAATATGGTGAACATGTCCAAGTGGATGCCAGCAAGGTTAAATAGCAGTGTCAAGGAAGCTATAAAAGGCAAGAAGCCTTAAAAAAAATAAAATGCAAGCCTTGCTAAAAGTATGTTTGATAAAAAGCAAGCTAAAGAGACTGGGGTGTGTGTGTGGATTTGGCAGACAAATTGCCAAAGGAATAAAAACAACCAACCAACATTTCTGTATACAGTGGTACCTCGGGTTAAGAACTTAATTTGTTCCGGAAGTCCGTTCTTAACCTGAAACTGTTGCGTGTCGAGGTCCCAACACCCCCCCCCCCAATAAAACACAGTTGACATAAGATTTCAGTTTTAATGTTTTTGGCATAATTTTGGCCACAACTTTATTAAAATTATAAGTGATATGAGTGGTTGCTTAGGCATTGGTTGTGACTATCTGACCCCGCATGGGGACAGAATGACATTTGCACGCCCGCGAAGTCAGAAAGGGTAAACAATTTGGGGAGAGAGACGGGACTGGGAACCATGCCTCACTTATCCCCAAATGCTCCCAGGAGCTCTTGTGTGGCCCTAGCCCCTTGACAGGGGTTCAGACAAAATCATGGCGAGCTTTCCTTTAACGGAAAACCCTTGCAGCAGCAGCATTAGAGGGGCAGGCACAGCCAATCCATACCCCTCCACCAACCAATTCCAAAACCAATGCCTAACCGCAACCTTACAAGTTGTGACGATTTGCTACGCAGTAGGCAAAAACCAAATGGCACCAACCAATCAGCCAAATGGACAAAATTCCTACTGGGCCCCTGCCCCAAAGCAGATGACCCCATGACAGGCATAGCAAGGTCAAGCGAACAACTTGAAAATAGGGAGGGAGGGCGTGTGATCCAATGCGCACAGTGAAAAGAGAAAGCTTAAAGCTGTGCACAGGGTATTTAAAAGCTATGGCTGTCAATCACGAAAAGGCAACATTTAAATCTCCCCAGCAACAGTAAGCTCAATAGTAATGGTGGCCAACTCCTTCCCCGCCCAGCAACAGTGGGTGTCTTGCTAGCCCCCACCGCAACACATGCTCTCCATGAAGGAGAACACGCTTTCTTAACCTGAAGCACTACTTTAGCTAATGGGGCCTCCCGCTGCTGCCACGCCACCGAAGCACAATTTCTGTTTTCATCCTGAAGCAAAGTTCTTAACCCGAGGTACTATTTCTGGGTTAGTGGAGTCTGTAACCTGAAGCGTCTGTAACCTGAGGTACCACTATATACAGTAGGAGGCAGAAACCAACTTATACAAATTCATGTGGGAGAGCTGGGGAGCAGAGTTGACTCCATTAGCTCCATCAGACCACCCCTCCCCTTGTCCCAGCCATCAACTGGGAGCAGCCATTCCATTGGTCTGCCTCAGTGGGAGAGACAGGAAGAAGAAGGCTCCCTCCATCATCTTTGCTGGAGGCACAGTTCCATCCAGCACCTCCTGCCCAAGAACTATGCCAGCTGGTCAATATAGAAACAACAGTTTAGAAATTTGTGCCCAAGTTTTTGTTTTTGTTTTCCTCTTCCCTCCCTGTACATATTCCTTGTGTGTGTGTGTGTGTTTAGATCATAAGTATATAGGTAGGGGACTGATTTTGTTTTGATTGTGTGCAGTGCTTTTTTCTGGGGGGAACACAGGGGTACGCATACCTCTAAACATTTTGTGAATCTTTATACTTTTGTCCATTTACTGTATTTATTTTCCCTGATTTGAACTATAAAATGGTGATTTTATTGAGTCAAAATGAGAGTACCCCTAAACAGTTTTTTTTAAAGAAAAAAAAAGCACTGATTGTGTGTAAGCCTTTCTACAGAGCAGGGTACAAATGCTCTAAATAAACAAGCAAATTAAAAAATGCAGTATAGGCTCTCTGCCACTGTAAGCCATGACAACTAAATGGAGCCTCACTATTCAGGGGCAGTATACCTTTGGCTACCCAGTTTCTAGGGGCATTGAATGTTGGAGGGTCACCTTCTTCTGTGCCCAGCTTTTAGGCTTCCTTTTGGAGACAGGAAAATGCTGGGCTGACTGAGCCTTTGGTTTGATTAAGCAGGACCGTCCTTATAGGCTGGGCAATGTGATACTGTATTATGGGCTATGGTGTTTCATCTTTAAAACAAAGTATATTCATAATGAATATCAACAGCAATGCTTACCTGTTTCAACCTTTTCATTTTCCAAATTTGTAACTGTTTTGTATCTGGAGGCCCTAAGGTAAAGATTACCTTAACTCTTTATTCTACTTAAAAACAAACCCTAAACTTAAATGTGGTATTACTTTAACAAGAAAAAAAGTGGTTTATGAAAATCAGGAGCTTAACTTAACTAGATGGGGACTGTTTTACCGCAGGGAGAGCATACGGGTTTCATTTCCCTCATATTTACAGCAGTAATATTAAGTTATAGGGTGGCACAAACTCACGCAACGCCCAAAGGCAGCAGGATTTTTGAGCTGGTCTCTACAGCGAGAGAAATTCACACACTGAAACTCACAGTGGCATTAAATTTTTAATACATTTGATTCCTTTCTTTTTTAAAAAAAGGGGAAAAAAGACTGTAATCAGTAGAGTCTTGAAGCAATTAAAGCTTCCATGTTTCAAACATATAGCTGTTTAGGAAAAAGAAACCCAGTTCAGACATTAGGCTGTGTGGAGGCTGGAGTTTACACACATAGCATGTGTCATGATGCTGGGTAGTTATGTACACTTTATTTTCTCTAACCACATGGTCCCTCTCTGTTCCAAAAGATATGGGGAAATTGCACATACAGGGCGAATCACACATTCTTTCATGTGTGTGATTGTCTAGCTCCATGTCAGCTCTCAGCTGGGGGAGTCCTAGACAGAGGAGGACCCAGGGCAAGGCTGGTCCAAGATATTTCACTGCTAGAGGCAAAGGACAAAATGATACAAACATGCCCCCATTCCATATATACCGTATTTTTCACTCCATAAGACACTTTTTTCCTCTTAAAAACTAAGGGGAAATGTCTTATGGAGCGAATGTGTGGTCCCTGGGGCCCCCAGGCTTCCCCCGCCAGCTCCGGGAGCAGAGGCAAGGCTGTGCGCAACCTTGCCGCCACTCCCCGACCTGTTCTGGAGGCTGAGGTCGGGGGAAGCTCAGGCTAAAAAGGAAGCCAAGACAGCGAGCTGGATCCATCCCGCTCGCTGTCTTGGCTTCTGCCAAAGCTGCGTGCAACCTCTCCAGCCAGGAGAGGTGCTCTCCTGCATTGCCAACTGGGGTTCTGGAGCAGACCAAAAGCTCAGCAGTGCTACATGAGAAGCCTTTCTCCATCTCCCTGACTGGGGTAGAGGTGTCAGGGTTCCCACACATGGGGGTGAAGAGGCAAGGGGCATCTGAGCTGAAGAATGTATCTGTGGAGGCTTGCACTCCATTCCTCCAGAGATCTGTTCCCCTCTATGCCTTTGGACTGTGTGAAATCATCCCTGTGCTGTTTACGAAACCCTCCCCGCTACTGTTGGGACCTTGGGCAAATGTTGCCTAATTCAGCAAGGACTCTGTGCCTTTGAAGACATACAGCCGATAGGGACTTCAGGTTCTTGAATAATGGGTATTTAGCACATGGCTATAAGGATGCGGGTGGTGCTGTGGGTTAAACCACAGAGCCTAGGACTTGCTGATCAGAAGGTCAGTGGTTCGAATCCCCGTGACGGGGTGAGCTCCCGTTGCTCGGTCCCTGCTCCTGCCTACCTAGCAGTTCAAAAGCACGTCAAAGTACAAGTAGATAAATAGGTACCGCTCTGGCAGGAAGGTAAACGGTGTTTCCGTGTGCTGCTCTGGTTCATCAGAAGCAGCTTAGTCATGCTGGCCACATGACCTGGAAGCTGTACGCTGGCTCCCTCGGCCAATAAAGTGAGATGAGCACCACAACCCCAGAGTCAGCCACAACTGGACCTAATGGTCAGGGGTCCCTTTACCTTTACCTAGCACATGGCTGCATGAAGAAGCTCAGTCATTCCCCCCAGTGAACAAACTGGAACATTTGTTGGGAAGAGAGAGAAAGCATCCTGAGCTGGTGAGCTGAGTGGGCTTCATGCAGCAAGTAAGGCCCAGTGCACTAGCTCTGGTAGCCTAGGGATGCCCAATGCAGATCTCACAGGAGCTGGTATGGCCCCATGAGATCTCACGAAAGCATCCTAGAGCAGCTTGCTGAGCAGAACTTGCCACCCACCCAGCAAAGCAGAGAGCCTTAAAGCTCTTTATGCACAAGGCAACCCTGGCACAAAAGTAGACCTGGCACACACACAAAGCACAAAAAGTGCTTTTCAACTCTCAGCCTTGCTTGGATTTAACTTGTGGAACTTCAGTCAGCTGGCCTTCAACCACGTATGGTTGAAATTGCACAAGATAAATACATGCAAGATGTGATCATACTGTAATGCTAAGCCAAACCGTGGCTTGGTGCCAGCAAGCATGAGGGTTCCTTGAGACAAGATCACAGCTGCTGCACCTTTCCCCTGGTCCTTCCGCTTCTGCTCTGCTATATGCTAAGCCATGGTGTTGTCAAAACCTGGGCTTGTGGTTTGTCTCTTCCAGACAAACCAAGAGCTATAAACCCAGGAACAAATCTTGGCTATTGACTGCAGTTTGAGTGTAGCATTATCTGTGAACCAGCTTATAGTCAGGGCATTTAGAAAGTTATTGTTCCTTTGATGCCTCTGTGCCATGCTTGTCTTCCTGCCTGAGAATTCATGAAACTACACCTGCAGCAAGTGCAAGCTGGTAGCCTTGCTGGAAGAGAACATACAGCAACTCGAGACCCACCCATCCACAATTCAAGTTATCAGAGAAGATGAGGAATTTCATGATGGAGCACAGTGGACTGTCTTGCAACATTAACACAGGTGGGAGGAAGATCACCCAATGCAGGAAACAAACCCCTGGAGGGACATGATACACAGAAGCAGGACTGTCAAGAGCCATGCTATGTCACTGGAGCTGCAAAATCAATTCCTATTCTCTGGCCTAGAACTGGTGTCTCAATTCAGACACTAGTACTGGGTCAGAGGAGCAAGAGCAGCAGTTGCAGACCTCAGAACAGACCAAAGTAGTTGCAGAAGGTGCAGTGTACAGAACAATTCCTGAAACACCCCAGAGGAGGAAGAGACATATGGTGGTGGTAGGTGACTCTCTGTTGAGGGGGATAGAGGCAGCAAAGTGCGAAAGTAACAATATATCCTGGGAGGTGTGCTATCTTCCAGGTGCAAAAATTCACGATGTGACAGAGAACTTGCCAAGTCTTATAAAGCCCACTGACCAATACCCCCTTCCTTCTGATTCATGATACTGCTAGACACACCCTTTCATGTATAGCAAGGGATTACAGTCGTACCTTGGTTGTCAAACTTAATCCGTTCTGGGAGTCCATTTGACTCCCAAAACTGTTTGAAAACCAAGGTGCAGCTTCCAATTGACTGCAGGAGCTTCCTGCACTCAAGTGGAAGCCATGTTGGACGCTCAGCGCTCTTCCTGTCATTGGTGACCTAAATTTTTGTTCTTTATAAAGGATAGCATTGGTAAATTCCTTTCTGCTTCACAGCTCGAGACAGGCATTGTCAAGTACAGTGGTACCTCGGGTTACAAACTCTTCGAGTTACAAATACTTTGGGTTACAAACTCCGCTAACCCGGAAGTAGGACCTTGGGTTGAGAACTTTGCCCCAGGATAAGAATGGAAATCGCGTGCTGGCGGTGCGGCAGCAGTGGGAGGCCCCATTAGTGAAAGTGCACCTCAGGTTAAGAATGGTTTTGGGTTAAGAATGGACCTCCAGAACGAATTAAGTTCGTAACCAGAGGTACCACTGTACAGCTTAAGCGCACTGGTAATATTGGGGAACACATCAATTAGGTGTGGCTCACCAATAAGTTGGAGAATTTTTGCATATTGCATTTAGATGGCGTGTTTTCTTTCTTCTTTCCCAAGGTGCAATTATTATTTTAACTGATAACACTTGTTTACTAATTTGTGGTCAACATCATCTTTGTAATACAATATTTACTACTATTGTCGTCAATTTCAGAATTGTTCACCAATTCTGAGAGGAACCTGAATCTTATTGAAATCTGCTCATGTGGGTCAATCCTCTTGCATAGCTGAATTATGAGGCTCAACAATTTAAGAAGGATATCGGCAAACTGGAATGTGTGCAGAGGAGGGTGGGTAAGGGTCTAGAAACACGGAGAAGAGGGATGATAGAAAAGCCATCTTAAAATATTTGGTGGGCTGTCACATGGACAGTAGAGCCAGCTTGTTTTCTACTGCTCCAGAGGGTAGGACCCAAACCAGTGGCTTCAAGTTACAAGAATAGGTGATTCCTATTAAGCGTTAGGAAGAACTTTCTGACAGTGGCACAGACTCCCTCAGAAGGTGGTGGACTCTCCTTTATTGGAGGTTTTGAAACAGAGCTTAGATGACCATCTGATGGAGTTCCTTAGCTGTGATTCTTGCATTGAGGGAGCTTGGACTAGATTACCCTTCGGATCCTTTTCAATTCTATAGTTCTATGATTCTAAGCCTTTGCAGAAAGGTAAAGGTAAAGGTACCCTTGACCATTAGGTCCAGTCGTGACCGACTCTGGGGTTGTGGCACTCATCTCGCTTTATTGGCCAAGGGAGCCGGCGTACAGCTTCTGGGTCATGTGGCCAGCATGACTAAGCCACTTCTGGCAAACCAGAGCAGCACAGGGAAATGCCATTTACCTTCCCGCCGGAGTGGTACCTATTTATCTATTTGCACTTTGACGTGCTTTCGAACTGCTAGGTTGGCAGGAGCTGGGACCGAGCAATGGGAGCTAACCCTGTGGCAGGGATTCGAACCGCCAACCTTCTGATCAGCAAGTCCTAGGCTCTGTGGTTTAACCCACAGCGCCACCCGTGTCCCTAAGCCTTTGCATAGTTCAATATTAAAAGGATTGGAAGAATGTTCTTTCACTTCCCCTCTTTCCCCACCTTTCCTTCCCCAATACCAGTTCATCTCTCAGCAGTTCGTTTCAATTATTTAGACATCCCCCCAAAAAAACTTCTAATAATGTAGGATTGTGACTGCAAGGCTGAATGCCACTGAGCCCTGTTGGTTTATTACACCTGTGTGACTGCTGTGCTTGACTTCATGCCACAAAGAGCCAAGTTCCTTTCCCGTAATTCCAAAATAGCTGTGAAACATACAAATTCCCAGGCTTGACCTCTTTGCACATTCCGTACAGTTTTGGCACTGGAATGTATTTGCCTCCAACCCCAGACGTACATTGCAATGTAACAGATCATGGGACAGGAAATCAATGCAAATGTGCTATGCACTAGCACATTTGGTTTCATTTCTTGGGGGACCATAAAGTGAAATTTAACATGTTAATCTGTGGGTTAATTTTTGTCTTCGGCTGGCAAACTGTAAATGCTTCCAGGCACAGCATGAAGAGTGCATTGCAGAATTCCCCAGGTTTGTTTTTTTATGCAAGAGGCACATTTCTTTTCTAGAATAATATCAGGGGCACACTTCACTCCAACAGTCAGAAAAATGCAAGGTTAATTTCTCTGTCTGCTGCTAGAGCAATGGAAAACAATCTTCCTTGCAACTGAGGGATGGAATAGATAATATTCACAGCAGGGCCAAGTGGGTTTTTTCCCCTCCGTAGACCAACCAAGCTATGTATCATTCAGCAACCTGCTCAAACTTTTGCACAGTCAGTTAGGGATGGGAATGTCCTTTACAGACAATGGAAATGCTTCAGGGATTTCCCTCTGCCTGTCACCTGTAATTATAGAGAGGTAAGCTAGCATCATACCTCATATAGAGAGGTATAGCATCATATCCTCCAACATTTCTCCAATGAAAAAAGGAACATCGTGTTCTACCTCAGGAAGCTTCTCCCATGTTTGATCTTGCCAAACAGAGAGACTGGATCTAGACACATCAAAGAAGCGATTCACTTAAATGCATTATGAACTTCATAAAGGGAAGTTCCGCTGGCAAAAATGGAACTCAATAGCGCCATCTGGTGTCATAATGCTTTAACACATCTAAAGCCCTTTATCTTTACAAATGTAGCCAAGTCCATAGATATCATATACACATCCTACCTTGGTCACCTTGAGCCAATTACCACCTCTCCACTGAACCTACCTCACAGGATTGTTGTAAAGAAAAAAATGTGTGAGGGAAGGGATCGTGTACAACACCTTCCACAGATAAACAGAATGAAATTAAATTTTAGCTGTAAGCTGGCTTGAGTCCCTGTAAGGGAAAAAGGCAGGATAATGGAAACTCAAAATGCACAGGAACATATCGAGAGTAAATTCTATTGAACTCAGCGGGGCTTACATCTGAGTAAAAATGATCTGGGTTGCAGTGTAAGGCTGTCCAGTCTTTACCCAATTATCTGAGAGTAAGCTCCATTGAATGCTGTGGGACTTACTTATGAGTAGACAGCGTAAGGCTCTATTTACAATACAGGAATGAACACTGCGTTTCCTAAGAAATGGCTGGCTGTTGAAGCAACGCAATTGAAGAATTTGCACTGGATTGGTGACCTTTTCCTTCAAAATCATAGGGAGGACTTCATATGCCAGTATCATCATTTCCTTCATTTGGGGTTGGTATTTTATTTTCAGGATACACAGATCTCCGTTCTTGAACCTACACAAACAGGCACACAACTTTTAATTGTACTCCGAGATGGGGAGGGGAGGAAAAAGGAAAACTGGGACATTATGGGATCAGATGAGAAACTGGGGCAGCTTCTGTAGTTCTGGGACTGTCAGAGGGTATATAGCATGAGGGAGTAAGATGGGAAAATTGAGATTCAAATCCCTGATCAGATATGAAACGCACCTTAGGCAGTTGCTATATCTCAGCCTAAATTATCTCATAGGGTGGGTTTGAGGTTAAAATCCATGGATGGAGAGCTGTTTACACCCGCCCCCCCCCCAACCAAGCTCCTTGGGAGGAAAGCAGGGATAGCAAAAGTTCATAGGTAGAGAATCTGCTTAAGAACATAAGAAGAGTCTGGCTGGATCAGGCCAATATGGCCCATCTAGTCCAGGATCCTGGAATCACAGTTGCCAACCAGATGCCCCCATGGGATGCCTCAGGTGCCAAAATGTCTTGGGCCAGCCCTGCTTAAGGATAAATTGCAGCGGTGAGGAAAGTCATGTCAGAAATGAAATTAAATATTGACTCTGCAGCCTGTAGCGGCTCAGGGGCACTTTCATTTATCCTGCCTTCATATATTCCAAAACAAACAAGCCCACCACCACCACTGAATATAAGTGGAGCTCTGGCCCAAACTGAGGACTATGCATATGTCTAATTCTGCCACCCCCACCCTGCTCCTTCCATTGTGTTTTCCACTCAGTCCAAAACATGACAGCTTCGTACTCACAGATCTGTTTGAGACTCTCTGGCCTTTTCACTTGTTTTTAATCATGGGAAATAAATGAAAATCACATGTGAGCTGCTGCTTTGGTATTTGCAAAGGACAAAACTATGGCAGCAATTGCTTGCTTAGACACACAAAACCACCACAATTATATCTTTGTTTCTATTCTCTAGTCTAAAACAACGTGTCCCCCCCCCTTTCTTTTTCTTCTGGAGAGACTAATGAGAGGTACTCACTTCTTTAGCTGTCTTCACTAGCATTTTATCTTTCTCTTGGTCTCTCCCCCCGCAGCCGGTGCTTATACTGGCAAATATATTATTTTTCCCTTTGTTGAATCCCTTCTGTTAGGTTGCTATGGACATAGACTTTTGCTGCCCCTGCTTAATCTCAAATATGTGTCTGTTTTGAATTTGATATGACAATTTATTTATTTGCTTCCTGCCCTCTTTCTCATCCTTGTGTGTGTGTGTTTGTTGTGTTGTGTTGTGTTGTGTTGTGTTGTGTTGTGTTGTGTTGTTGTGTGTTTGTGTGTGTATGTGCTTCACAGGAAGCATGAGCTCAGCTATTTTGCTGGCCTTGTTCTTTAATAGCATACCTGAATTCTTGGCAAAAAGCTCTCATTCGGGGAATGTTGAGCAGCTCCAGATTTTTTGGGGGGTAGCCAGAGGAAATATAAAATTAATTAGCAACATAATTTAGCCCTTTACCTGACTAGTAAAAAGGGCTTGAGTGTTTGTACTAGTAAGAGGCTCTTGGCTGGGATCCCTTTCCCCCTACTTTAAGAGGGCTGGGAGGTCAAAAGTCATATTGCTTACAGTAGTGATTATATTAACACCTTTAAATTGACACAAGTAAGAAGATGCAAAGGGGGAAAAGAAACAGCCCTGGATGCCATCTCTGGGCAACAGCTTGATCAAAGGTTGGTGCAGAGATGGAGTGGGAAGGCAGAGAGTGGTTGATAGTGGGTGTGTCCTTTTCACTGCCTGCCACCAATCCCCCCCCTCACATCTGTCCCCCCACGTACATGCTTCTAGTGGTATAAATGTTAGTGCGATTTAAAGTATGGTCCCATATGCTGAAATGTTGTTCTTTAACAGATTTTTTTTATTGTTTCAAAATATAGATAGCCATGGATGAAAAATTCATCAAAGTATATAACTAGGTTTAAAATCATAAAACAACAAACTCATTAAAGGTTTGGGTTCTTCCTAAGCATCAGCCCGAGGTACATAGCCAGAAACTGCCACAAGTGGATTGAGGAGCAAAGTTATTTTCTTCTTGGATGGCATGTGTGATCAAGGTATACAACGTGCCCTGAAAAGTGTCAGGACTCCTTAGTGCAGGGGTAGGCAACCTAAGGCCCATGGGCTGGATGCGGCCCAATCACCTTCTAAATCTGGCCCGCGGGTGGTCCGGGAACGAGCATGTTTTTACATGAGTAGAATGTGTCCTTTTATTTAAAATGCATCTCTGGGTTATTTGTGGTGCATAGGAATTTGTTCATTATTTTTTCCAAAATATAGTCCAGCCCACCACATGGTCTGAGGGACAGTGGACCGGTCCACGGCTGAAAAAAGTTGCTGACCCCTGCCTTAGTGCTTTGAGTCTGTAGGTTAATTTTTCCACCTGCGCGAAAATGTCATTGTGCCAATAAGATAAAATATTTGTTGTAGAGGTCTGGGTCAGCCCAAGACATTTTGCCTCCTGAGGTCAACCAGACAATGTTCCCCACCAAACATCATGAGAATTGTAGTTTGTTAAGGGTGCTGGGTTAGAGTATGGGTAGGGAATATCAGACTCAGGGTCCAAATACAGCCCTCCGAGTCTTTTCGTTGGGGCTCAGGCCGCCCCTCTCCAGTCTTGCTTTGCACCCTCCCTGAGTGTTTTGGACTGACTGCAAATGTGCCTTTATATGGAGAAAAGGTAATGTTGTGGTGGGAGAATACTCATCTCACCCCCCTCTTCCTTTCCCTCTTTCCTCCCCCCACCCCACAAAAACACTCCTCCCCTTTCCATTCTGCTGAGTGGCCTTTGCACCATCGCTCATTGGTTGGAGACTGCAGCTGCTCTCTTGCAAAGCTAGGAGCCAGCCCATCACGAGGCAGCTGCACAAGTAGCACAACTCTGTGGGTTAGTGGTTTGATAGTAAAGGTAAAGGTTCAGTCGTGGACTCTGGGGTTGCGGCGCTCATCTCGCTTTATTGGCTGAGGGAGCTGGTGTACAGCTTCCAGGTCATGTGGCCAGCATGACTAAGCCGCTTCTGGCGAACCAGAGCAGCACACGGAAACACCATTTACCATCCCGCTGGAGTGGTACCTATTTATCTACTTGCACTTTGACGTGCTTTTGAACTGCTAGGTTGGCAGGAGCAGGGACCGAGTAACGGGAGCTCACACCGTCATGGGGATTCAAACCACCGACCTTCTGATCGACAAGTTCTAGACTCTGTGGTTTAACCCACAGCGCCACCCGCGTCCCTAGTGGTTTGATAGAGGTGCAGAAAAGAAGAGAAAGGAAGATGTCATGAAATGGGGGTGAGAAATGCTGTGGTGGAGCAATGGGGAGAAAATTTTGTCCCCCTTGTTTCACCACATGGTTTCTCCCCGCCCACCATGGGCATAGCCAGGATCTTATGCTCGGGGGGGGGGGCACCCACCTGTCATCATCCTCTGTTTGGCTCTGTCAAACAGATTCAGAATGGAATGTCCCAACAACAGTTGTTTTAAGTTACTTTCTTTTGACCCAAAGTGCTCAGAAAAATCTGTCAAAATCTTCAGTCATTTTAAAACTAGGAAGTTAAATTAAGCCAGCAAACTACACCATACAGTCATACCTCATGTTACGTCCGCTTCATGTTACGTTTGAAGTGAAGGCCCAAGACAGGTGTTGATCATCATGTGAGCTGCACACAGGTGGGCTGAAGCGAGCGAGCTACTGCCATTCCTGTGGAGCCTCCTTTTATTCAGACAAATATGCAAGCCAGGCAAATACATTTTTGGGCTGTGACCTTTACACATTTTCCGTCCAGAGATCGTGGGGCGGTACGAAGCTATTTTGGCACCTGTTTCCACAGCGTCATTTTCCCCTTGCACAGTGTATGACGAAGGAGACAAAAGGTCTCAGGGACAAAAGGTTACAGACAGGACACTGCTGACTGCTGAGACTGCAAAAGGTCAGACATAGGAAACGATGTACCAGACAGCCGTGGCTTGTCTGGGGGGGGCGGTTTCCCTGCACCCCAAGGTCACGCGTGCAGGCAGATGTGGCTGCCTGCTGGTGGGGAAGTGTGCTCCCTCCGGACCCCACTCCCCACTCCGCGATATCCCTACAATGTTCTTTCAGGATACGTGGCGACCCGGAAGTACTGGAAAGGGTTACTTCCAGGTTTCGCTACTCGCGCATGCGCAGAAGCGCGAAATGACATCATGCACATGCGCAGAAGTGGCAAATCGCAACCTGTGCGTGCACAGACGCGCCACTGTGGATTGCACTCTTTTCATGTTGCGAACAGGCCTTCGGAACAGATCCTGTTTGCAACCAGAGGTACCACTGTATTTAAATATAACAGTGGTTTACAACAAACATTAGCTACAAACCCACACTGATCTGAATTGTGAACTTGAATAAACTGAACTATATCAATGACTGAGGCCTGAGAGGGCTTTTTATGGTATAAATAGCTTGTGGGAAACTTCCGGTCTTTTCTAGACTGGCCCTGCAGGTGTGTGCTCTCAGGAGAAAATGGTGGGAAACTATGAGAAGCTTCCAGAACCAAGCTACCTCCAATGTGAATGGTGGGGTTGCCATATTTCATATTTCTGCCTATTGGAAATTCACATGGGATGTCAATTCTGCTTTTGAAATTCCAGTAATATCCGTAGAATTCGAACATATGGCAGCCATAGCGATTGGTCAGTTCACAGAAGCCATGCCTAACACCAAGGTCCAAGTCAGGTTGCCAGTTGCATCACTAGAATGTGCCACTCATCCATGTGACTTCAGTGAGCATTTCAACTTAAAATATTCTGATTATTTCAACTTTTAGTTATTTTTATTTTTAAACTTGATTGGTGGGGTGGAGCAGCTGCCCCCTACCCCCTGGATATGTCCATGCTGCCCACCCCATTTTCTTCCACTTCGTTCCCCTTGCTTCACTTTCTGCCACCCAAAGGGTGCTTCTTCATCAACCTCTGGAAACACTAGTGGGCCATCAGGCGTCTTTCTTACATGCCATTCCAATCTCTGAGAGGTGAGAAAACCATTCCAGACACCGACCCAGGGTTCAGTTTCCTTGGAATTGAGGCCAGCAGAGACTACAGAATCTTTAGATTTTATTCACACATATATACAACCTGAGCATAAGATGGGGGAGGGGGAGGCTTACAGCATTAACACCTCAACAGATCTTGCTTTTCCCTTAGACACAGCTTAGGATCCAATCCAGAGCAAGCAGGCCCTTGTGTCTCCAGCTTCTAGACTACTTCCAGCTCTCACACGCTGCTCAGACTCTTGCTCTCCTACCTAGCAGCTAGGTGAGGGGGATGGAGAAAGCCACTTCCGCCTAAGGAGGAGGTGGGGTTGCGGGCTTCACGGCCCCTCCACATGTGCAACAGGCAGAGCCAGCACCGCACGATTGGCCGGGGGGGGGGGGAATCCCGGCTGCGTCATCCCCTGGCCGGCCAATCGGCTGGCTTGGGGTGTGTGGCCTGCCCTATTTAAGGCAGGACGTGGCAAGGGATCTCCCTCTTTGCCGCCCACCAGCTGCTCCTGTTTTTTCCCACCCTCCCGCCCTGTAAAGTTTTCATTCCTTGACCTTGCTATGGACCTTGGTTGATCGCAGTTGAGGGGCCTGGTAGGAATTTTTCCACTTGGCAAATTGGCACCAGCCACTTGGTTTTTGCCTACCTCGTAGCAAATCATCACAACTTTCTGTGTATTGGTGGTTAGGCATTGGTATTTTTCTGTAGATGGAAGAGGGGAGGTAGCACCATCACCTGCCCCACATATCGAAGGGTAGTTCGTTAATGGATTCTGGGGGGGGCGTGGCCCTGTCCGAAGCCTAAGGAGGTTAGGGCCCAAGGCCTGCCCGCTAGCGGTGACCCCGGGGAGTTCCTAGTTGATGTGCATCAGCAGGACTCCCCCTACTGGTAGTTAACCCTTTCCGGACTTCAAGCATATAGGCTGGAGTTGGATATAGTCGGTTAGGACCAATGCCTAAGCCAATACCACTCTTCACCTGTAACCAATAAAGTTGTGGACTTTTTTTAGCCCATTAAGCTTAATAATTGTGTCATGTGTCATTATTTCCACCTGGGGGGGTCGGGAACTCACCACACAAAAGGCCCACCCAATAGCCCAGAGGGCACCATCACTTAGTTGTAGCTCTTGCAACCCAACTCATTCTTTTGGGATACTGAGGAGGACCTTTAAGTGGCCTGCTAATGTCATTATCTTACAAAGAAAATTTTCTGACCAGTTCAGCAACCTCCTTCTCTATTAGATTCTAACACTCACTGGGTACAGGACCCCAAAACTTGGGAGGACTCAGGAAGGTCCCAGACTAATCTCCCAAACACACAACAATACTTTTTCTAGAACTACTGCTGATATACATTGTGGAGCTGGAGCCTCATGAGTGAGTGGGTTGATCCCTGCCCCTCGCTTTTTAAATAAAAAGCTCATATAAAACCCAAGTTGTTCTCCAATGATTCTCTGAAAAAGTGCTTTGTGGAGCAACCTATGGGGATGCCCACATCTAAAAGGGGGTCACAAAGTGCATTGTGATATGGCACAACATTTGAATGGAGGCATCAACATGACCCAACTCATCCATTTCTTGCATTTGGTGTTGCAAGCTTTCTATTGTTCCCTCCGCCGCCACCCACCCCCCAGTGGAAAATATGAAAGAACCACTGCTTCTCTTGGTATGATGCAAGTAGCCCTATAAAACCATCAAGTATGACCAAGCCCTGTGACTCCGTGCAATAGTCATTCCAGCAGTTGGGTAATAAATTGAGGGTGCCATTAAAGTACTCTGAAGGGTCAAGTGTATTTCCCTAAATTGGAACGGAAGGGATGGCAATTAGCTCTGTTTCCTTGGCGTTCATGGCCTAGAGTGATGCATTGTTTCCTTTCTTTTTAGATATTTCCCCTAATTAATCACTGCTTCAGGAAGGAATAATTCTTTGTTATGCTTTCTTGGCTGCAGGAGAAGTTTGCTGCGGTCCGTCTGTGCATCCAAACAGCACGTTGTAGATTGTCCTCCAGGCAGACACACCCTCCCTCTTGGTTCCCATTTTCCTATGTTGCATGGTAACTGAATGATCAACTCTATTCCCCAACTGGTGGGATTTCAGATGTGAGTCTCCAGCCCTGAGCACTCCTTGTTCATCAAATCCTTCAGGGTCCACTTGTTGCTAGTGCACAGAGATAGGCGTATCTTCAGTTTTCCATGATTCTCACCACACAGCTGGGTGGACGGACATCCTGAAGGCATATTCACTAGAGAAACATCCAAAGCTTCCCTGATAGCTCAGCACATAATGTAACCCACACTCTCAAAGGCTCATTAAATTTCATCCTTGTCATTTCTACCCATTTCTCACATTTGTTGACATAATTTTGACTCTCTGTGCTGACCTCTGAATTATTTCCGGTCTTTACCTATTTAGTACCATCGGCAATTTTTTTAAATAAAAAAGTTCATTACCTCTTATTTCACGTTATCATCATCATCAACAACAACAACATTATACTTATACCCCGCCCATCTGGTTGGGTTTCTCCAGCCACTCTGAGCGGCTCCCAACAGAGCATTAAAAACACGATAAAACATCAAACATTAAAAACTTCCCTAAACAGATGTCTTCTAAAAGTCAGATAGTTGTTTATTTCCTTGACATCTGATGGGGGGAGCGTTCCACAGGGCGGTCGCCACTACCAAGAAGGCCCTCTGCCTGGTTCCCTGCAACCTCACTTCTCACAGTGAGGGAACCGCCAGAAGGCCCTCGGAGCTGGACCTTAGTGTCTGGGCTGAACAATGGGGGTGGAGACGCTCCTACAGGTATACTGGGCTGAGGTTGTTTAGGGCTTTAAAGGTCAGCACCAGCACTTTGAACTGAATTAGTTCAATACTTTGAATTAATGCACCGTGGCCTCGCCATCCCATAGGCACTTGTAAGCAAGTTCCCCGCTTGCTTACAAGACAACATAATAAGTTTTAAATCTACAATGCTAAAGTCATAATAATCTCAGTATACATTTTAAAATTAACATTTCTACCTGAGATTGTTTTAGAGGAAAACTAACTAAAGAAGGCTTGGCAATTCAGAGGCAGTGTATGAGATTCTAGTGAGAAAGAGCAAATAATGTGGATCTTTGTGGGAGTTCAGGTGATTATGATTTTGATAATTATCTCTATATGCAGCCCATCTGACTGGGTTGCCCCAGCCACTCTGGGCGACTTCCAACAAAATATAAAAGCACCATAAAACATTAACCATTAAAAGCTTCCCTGTACAAGGCTGCCTTCAGATGTCTTCTAAATGTTGTGTAGTTCTTCATCTCCTTGACATCTGACGGGAAGGCATTACACAAGGTGGGCACCACTACCAAGAAATCCCTCTGCCTGGTTCCCCATAACTTCACTTTCCACAATGAAGGAACTGCCAGAAGGCCCTCAGAGCTGGACCCCAGTATCCAGGCTGAACGATGGGGGTGGAGACGCTCCTTCAGGTATACAGGGCTTCAAAGGTCAGCACCAGCACTTTGAATTGTGCTTGAAAACATACTGGGAGCAAATGTAGATGCTTTAGGTCCCAGCGGCCTCTCCCAGTCACCAGTCTAGCTGTCACATTCTAGATTAGTTGTAG